TGTAGTTGTTGTTTTTCAAATTCGTCACTTTTTTCACAAAAATCCCATTGTTATACAGAAAATTTTACTGCATTGTCATCTTTTATTACAAATTTTCATATAACAATTTTGATGTTACTATCTTCTTATTTTATCCGGAATTTAACTGTTCTTTAGTTTTTAAATATCGTATTTTTTATTACTTTTCTTATACAAATCACCGTAAAGATGCAGATATGTTCATTTATTCACAAGCCTTAATTTTGCTTTTTTATCATTACTTGAGTGTCCAGTAATTTTGCCACGTGCAAATTTCTCGCAGACCTTTTTCTTGTGGGCATTTATCTCGCTTACTCTTATATAGTCAATTTCCTCGTTCTTCTTTTCTTATGGACATTTATACTTAAAAAAGAAGAACTAAGAAATTGATAGACGAAAAAATAGTAACTGAGGTAAATGCCCACGAGAAAAAGGCAGCTATAAAAAGGTTCGTGATAAATTTGCACACGACGAAATTACAGCAAACCCATTATATGTACAGTATATTATATTATTTTTTGCATTAATTAATTAAACTCCGTTGGCTTAAATAATTTATTTTTGTTTATGTTTATCTTTGCCATAGCAAATGTTTCAAATAACCTAGTAATATTATTATTTTGTAAAAGTTACTGGTTATGTCTACTTGTATTGTATATTTCTCGATTTGAATAAGTTTGCTGGAATATACAATAGATAAAATATATGTAGTTGTAGAAAATCCTAGGCTTTGATAAATCAATATCTTACTATTGGAGTATTATTTCACTGAGTAAATATTGGAATACTTTTTATAGTTATTTTCAAGATATTATTTTAACAGATAGTTTTCTTTCGATTTCGTATTTATATATTATATTAATTTATCAATTAAACATTTTTTACAATCCTTTTCTTCATTTGAAATTAAAGACTCAAACACTTTGGGTTGATTCGAAGGATTATAAAAAGAAGTCATACCTTGCTCTAAGGAAATTTAAGTTGAGTTTACTTGGAGGATTATTCGAATAGCAATATAAACTTTTGTCACTGGAGACAATTGATACCAACTTTTTTCTCTATCAAGTACTCCCTCCTTGGCTTGAGTGTAGTTCTCTAAAAGAGTTACTTACTTTTGGCAGAAAGGATCATTAGTTTAGATATCAAGGCATAGGCTGCCCAAGATATACCCCATTTATTTATGAAAACAGAGAACGTTTAACTTAAAACTTTGGGCATATTAAATATATGACAAAATAAGGTTAGTCCATATCACTAGACGATTCTTTATCTCTTTATAGAATCGTATTTATGTGAATTTTAATTATTTACCAACTTAAAAAAAAGCTAAAATATTATAACATGTTTGAAAAAACCGTAATCCCAAACAAATCTATTAAGATACTTTAATTTCAACATCTGATTCGGAAGACTTACTTTATATTTTATAAAGAATACTTTAAAAATATATAACTACTCAAAGGAGATCTTTCGGTTTCTAAGAAGCCTATTAAAAATGTATACAGATTTCCAATGAAAAAAAGTCAAATATTTATTATTTAAGATTTGTTAATTTTATGAACTGTTCAAAAAGGATTTTATTCTATAAGTTGAATTAAAAACTTTATATTTGAACTATTTTATATTTGATCTCGTTATTTATTTATTAGTACTTTGTTTGATACCTTGTATATTTTATTTGATAAGTATATCTGTTTAAACTTTAATTTATAGTCTTAATTTCAAACTAAAATGTTTAATTACATGTATATATTTTTATGTCATAGCTCTAAATCAATAAAGTATTATAAAAATATTTTGAAAAAATGAGTCAAGTCGGTATTATTTATAGAAAGAAGTTCTTAAAACTTAGTCAAGAACCTCATAAGATTTTCTTTTGAAATTACAATATCTAAAGTCTAATTCTTAAATACAAAGAAATGTAAATATTCATATTTGAACTTCAAAATTTTATTACTGAAATACCAAAGAAAACACATTAGTTCAGAATGTAAAAGCAGATTCGACTCCCAAGAGGGGAAGGTCAATTCGGGTCAAACTCATTGATAATATCCTAGGTTCGATATACTAATCTCACGCTATAAGGCTTATTTACACGGATACTGCAATTCTATAGAACCAAATATGCAAAAGTTCCCAATTACTCTATACAATAACTTGAAGAAACTCCTATTAGTTCTTATCAGCCAATGTTATCAACATAACTCATTTTATAATATTAAAAACTTTAAAATTTAACTGTTTGAAAAGAACTGTATGCAAATAAACAAAATCAAATATAATTAGCTTAAAATATGATACAAAATAAATAAAAAATAATTAATGAAGTGTCTTATTTCATGTTAAATTATAAGTTCCAATGCTTGTTAACTATTTAACGCATTTGCATCAGTTGTATAAAAAAAATATGTATTACTATATATGTAAAAAAGAAGTTAACTTTAAAAAATATATTTGTTAATCAACATCAGGAATGTATGAAATTATAAACATATACTGTATTTTCTAGTGTCAAATAACCCCTTAACCTTTTCACGGACTTTTTGGAATAAAAGTTTTATTTGCAACATGACCAAATTTGAACATGTAAATAAAATGCATGCTTTTATGATTAGACCAACGTTACTACTCATGTATAAGTACACCCGCCAGATTTCGGGTCTTGAAATTTGGGGTAAAAGGGGTTCTTATACACAGGAAAATACGGTACTTGCAATTGAGTCGTCAATTATTGTCATTGATTTAGACGAAATACAAAATTAAAACCACTGATGATGATAAATATGGATAAAAACAAATATTTTGGATTCATAATATTGAATGGTGTCTTAGCAATAAGTGAAAAAATTGTTTTTTCGCCTTTATAATAATAATACTATACTAACATTTCTCCTTAAAAAAACTTATACATATATTCTATAATATATCTTATATGATATGAATAGTTTCAAAACAGGAAATTGAAGGTGAGCCATATATAGGGAGTCTGAAGATAAATCGCTCCCTAACCAAAGATCTGGGCTAACAAAAATATATTATCTATTTATTGATAAAAATATAGAGCAAGGCTTCTTATATTTCAGAAAAAAATGGAAACTATGGCTAAAAATAAAACGAAAAATAGGGATATGAAAACAATAAAAGAAAGTCCCCAAATGGCATATTCAATATTGAAATCAATGATGCTGTGATCAGAACTATAGTTTTGATTCCATTCTATATTGCCTTCCCATGATTTCTTTCTTGTATTGAGTCCTCAATAAATATTCAATAACTGCTGCTTTAAGTTGGGCGCATTTCCCAAGAGAATAAAACATTTGGTGCCCAATTCAATTGCTTTGTGACTTGAGGATATTATTTATATGATTATATACACTCAAGAGAACAAAGGATTTCAAAGTATTTGAGGAAACGTCATAATTGAGTTAAAAAATGTTTTTCATATAACAATTGTTTGTAATTAATAATTGCAATTCATGCAAGGAAGCTTAAAGTTGATGATCTCCAAATAATTTTGCAAATACAGAGTAAATATTGACCCATTAGCAATATCACTCGCTGATTTCAGATTTCTCGAATATATAAATATATTTAATTAGAACCATAATTAAGGATATATATGTCAATACGATTTATAAGGATGCCATACTTATTTTGATCAATGCATGTATAATAGATGTAAATTATCTTGTCATGTGAATTACATAATATTACATCTGGCTGTACTTATACAATGGACATATTTTGGTTGCGAGGGTAAATAAAAAGTTAGTATATTCAAACCTATAGCACTCGTCTTTATGCAAAATTTCAAATAAATATTTATCTTGTTAAAAAGTCATTTAGTCATAGTTTTTGAATAAACAATAAGAGTGTAAAAAAATATATAAGGTTAAAATTATTTTTAACACCCTAAAAAGGATCCACTTCCGATGTGAAAGCAGTCAAATGTCTGATAAAATCGAGTGTGGCTTAATCCAATGGTTCTAAATGTCCTTTGATATTGCGGTCACGCAATTTAATGTTCCTATCTGAGATTTGTCATTCTTTTTTTGTATATCCCACGGTCGAATTTAGAGTATTAATATATATCTCATAATTATTTGAGAAATTGGAATATACGCTCTTTGATCTCTAAATTAAACAATAAATTTCTCAAACAATAAATGTAGTAATTTTATAATAAAGTTTGAAAAATGACTTATTGAAATTAAAACTACTGAATTACATGATATCTAACAAGAAATGAATAAGAAAACAATTGCACTAAATGTGTCCATCTAACATTTCAAGTCAT